ACCCGCTCGGGATTTTATAGTAATAAATTCCAAAATTGCATAACTGCACACTACCGTAATATCCCGAGTCATCGCCCATCCCCGAGCCATCGCCCACCCCATTTTTTGGGCCAATATCGATTTCCGAAAAAACACCGAGTCATCGCCCACCCCTTCAAATACCCCAGCGCGGACTCTGCGATCCGATCCGCGAACACTCATCCTACCCGAAGGACGCGGTCGCGGACCTTACAGTTGGAGGACGTCCGTGACAAAGTAAAACGAAGGAGGGAAAGACACTTCTTTTTGTTTACGCATTTCCTCCGTGAGCGACCCCAAAGTGGTCGTGTATCCGTGCGAAAAGAAAACGATGGTGATAACAAAATAAGAGTTTGTTAACGTAACCCGCGGAGTGTTAGGTCAAAGTCTGTCTCCGCCGAAGTAAGGTCACCGCGAACCCGCTCCTTCTTCCCGCCCGTGGCGACCGCGGTTGTGCAATATTTTAGGCAAAGCCAAAGCGTAAATAAAGCTTTGCTGGAACGTCCTACACAGACGTTTGCAGAGCGTCCCAACCGTGCATTGATAGCCCGCCGTGCACGGACGCACGTATGTACGCACCAAACAAGTTGCGCAAGAGCTTGCGCCCGACTTGGCCCGACGCCAAAGTATTTGCCAACGCGACCGCCGGCTTTCCCGCTTTCCCAGCATTGCTCTTGGTCGCTTCTTTGGTCCTCTCGCTCGCTCGCTCGTTGCGCCTGGTCGGTTTTTCTATTTTCTTGTACACTTTTCTTTCTTTTTTTTTTACTAACTAGGAGAACATAATGGTGACATTCTTTCACGGAACAAACGTTCGCGCTATATGCAGATCGGCGGTGTTTCTAGCGTGTATGCAAGCAACGGACTTCGCTATAGTAAAATATTCTTTCGTGAGTATTTTTTCTATAAAACAATGAAACTAAATCGAGTTTTGAGTTTGATGTATCTCTTGTGCATCAGCGCTAGATACGCAGAGAAAAATAGGCGTTTTTTTCCGCTTTTTTTCAAGTGTTTGTGCTCACCCACCGAGACATGGCCCACCCCATTTTTTTAACGAATTTCAGGCGGTAGGGGGGTGGGCGATGACTCGGGATATTACGGTACTTTAAATACTTCGCTACAAATAAAGTATCTTTCCCAGGATAAGTGAGTGCCCCGTAAATTACATAAATGTCACCAAAGCCCACGGTTAAGAGGTTCAGCTTAGAAGAAACAGCCACTATTTCTTCCGGCAGTAAGGCTCGTGTCTGAGTCGGCGTCTACAGCCCAGAGAGCCCAGCGAAGGAAATTCCCGGGAAAGTTCCCACTATCTCGAAGGGCGCAGCTCACGAGAATCACGGGCATTGTACACACTGCAAAATGTGGCACCATCTGCCTGCGCGCCTCACCATGAGGTGGCCGTTGGGATCCCTTTGCAGCGCGACGTGATGCTCGTTCACGTAGATGTGCGTGCGGGGATCCTCTTCCAGCCTGAGAGAGAGGGTGTCGCAGAGCTGCTGTAGGCCATTCCTCAAGTTCCACATGGCCCACCCAGAAGACAAAGAGTGAAGGCTCGCCGGTGCGCTCGTCGCGCCAGCGTTCGTTGCGTCCGCTGCACTCGCCACCCCTGCCGTGATGCCTGCGGCGTGCACGTGCGAGTCTGTTGCATTTGCCGAGGTGCTTGTCGCATTCTCCGCCATCGTCGTGCGTGTCGTTTTTCCGGCAGGGGTTGAAGCAGCTTGCGCAAGCCGGGCTGCCGTGGCGGCTTGCACCTGTCGCAGCTGGCCCCGCACGACCGAGCCGTGTTCCCTGGCCGCCTTGAAGACGTTGGGAAGCAGGGCACGCAGGCTCACTTCGTGGGAGGAGCCGCCGCAGATGCCCCGAACCATAGGATCCATGATATAGTCTGCGATCTGCATCGATTGGCACAAGATTGGCACAACGGTACTTATTGTCACGAATTCATCGGCAACGTTAGAGCGACGCCGTTATTTATGTTCATGCACTTACTTGACGCGTTCCAGAAATGCCAGATTTGCATGAAGACGAAATACAACCCCGAATGTGACACAAGCTCATGTGGTCAGGGTATTAGAGTTGGAAAATAATAATATGATTACGACAGACTTTCCCAGCATAAAATTTCCACGCTTGACGATAGGTGGGCAGAAAAACGGGCAGGGTCGCCGGTGCCAACCCCAACATCCAAGCACAGAATCTGCAAGATCTTTCTGATGCTTGGGATAAACTTGGGATTTACTTAAAAGATTCTATTGCAAAACTTCCACAAGATGGCAGAGGTACTATACAAGCAAAGCTAGTTTTACTAAACAGCATTGAGGAAAACAACAAAAAAAAAAAAAACCTTACTTTCCCCACCATTACTAGTGCAAGGTAAAACAATTATTCCCAAGCTCATTTTGTGAAGCAGAATTTTTAGGAATCAGCACAATTGTGATACAACTCAGCCCTCCTTTTGAATGCCTGTTAATAGTCTTGTCATTCTAAAATTTGCTACACTGAAACCTTAGTTTGCTTGTTTAAAAACCTTGCTTTGCTATAAAACATTCAGCCTTTCCACTCTCGTGAAGAAGGAAGACCAGCAGAGCTGTACTCGATACACTGCCGCAATGCGCACGCGCCCGTTTCTTCTTGTCTGACACGCCGCCGATTGTGGCGTGTCAGACAAGAGCCAATCGCAAGACCGTGGCTTGCGATTGGCTCATGGGTGCTCATTGTCAACCGACCACCAGAATATACTCCTCCCCCAAGCAATGCATGGATGTCTTATCCATGATGTGCTCCCGATCTTTGGGCACATGGTGTGCTTGCGATCTTGATATACATTGAACTGTTAACACGAGCACAGTTTTTTTTTCATGCAATATTTTTTATGCCGTTTTTACCCTTTCCAGGAAACTTGGGATTTGTAACACGAAACAAATGCGCATGTGCGAGAGGGAGAGCGATAGGTGGATAAATTGAAGAGGAAGAATGACACTTCGAACTTCCCCCCGGGGAATCAAACCCATGATCCCAAGATTACGAGCTCAATGTTCGGCCACTACACCAAGGTGCAGACTTGTAAAGCGGTGGTTATTACATGCGATAACGTTTCTTCCGCCAACTGGTACCGCTGAACATGCAAGTAATGTGAGCGGGTAGCTTCGAGCTTTGCTCTCACTGCACGAGGGCTCGTGCGGCCGAGGCGCAATCGAACGCAAGGGGTGTGCCCTTGTGTCCGTCCTTGTGCAGAAATTTTACAGCTTACAAAAGAAGGCACACTTTCAGAAGGGGTCAGTAATAGAAGTCATACAGTTGCTGAAAGTGTTCCGGTTGCCCACAACAACTCGCAGGAGAAAGGAGTCAACTAAAGTGGACATCGCTTGACAGAAACAGGGGCCAGTAAGGCTCAGGATGTTCGAACAGAAAGGAGAGAACAGCCTTCGGCTAGATAAAGAGTGGCAAGGTATGCTCATTCCGCTACGAGGCTTGTCTCAGTTTAATCTGCAGAATATACTAACCTTCATAAAAAAAAAATGTCAAAATGCTCTCGCATTTAGGCATAGTCTGCAGCAAAGCACCACAAAACTGCAGCTCCTTTTTTCTTTTCTCTTTTAGTACCAAAGGGCTATTATAAGAACTATTTGTGCGACTCATTTGGGAAGTTAACCTAAATGGAAAAATTTAATGCCCGCCAATGCCCTTTTGAAATCAAATGCTAAAAAGAGGCGAAGTTGTGTTTGCACTACAGTAAAATCTTGTTATAACAAAATGGGATATAACAAACTAATGGATATAACAAAGCAATCATAATTCCCCTTGCTTGCTAATAGTGGGAAGAAATGGACATTGGCTTTAACAAACTAATGGTTATAACGAAATAATTACGACCGCTCCTTCAACTTTGTTATAACGAGGTTTTACTGTACTAACAGCGTTGCATAGTGTACTCAAGACAAAAAGTATGTTGCAAACTACTTAGAGAAGTTGTCATCTTCACTAGCTTTTTGTCACCTCAACAGAGTTAAGACCCATGGTGACGGCACCAGCCCCATCCCTATGAGAAGCACAAATGAGGGAGAGGAGATGAAAGCTCGGCGCTTCTTTATTTATTTATTTATTTATTATACCCTCAGGGCCGAAGCATTACAGAGGGGGTGGGCAACGGAAGTACAAAAAACGCTGAAAATGGTTAGTCCGGCACAGATCATGAATAGTAACTTGTTAAAGCTTCTTTAAAGAGGACAAAAACGCCAATGGACGCAATGGGTGAGGGAAGGCCGTTCCAATCACGAGATGTTTTTGGGATGAAAGATTTGAAAAAAGAATTTGAAATGGAAGTGGGTATACCAACTTTGCAGCAGAGATCGAGGCGAGAGGATACGTAGATGGGAGCACTGATTAGTTGTTCTTTCAAGAGTGAATTGGCATAGTAAATTTTATGGAATAAACAGAGACGGGAGATAGTGCGACGAGTGGAAAGAGGGGGCAGTGAGAGACTAGCTTTCATGGATGTGACGCTTGATGTACGATGGTAGTTTGATAATATAAAACGTGCTGACCGGTTTTGGATGGCTTCAAGCGCTGATATGAGGCTTTCTGTACCGGGATCCCAGACCGAGCATGCATATTCAAGTTTTGGTCGCACCAGTGTTTTATAAAGTAGTAATTTTAATGATGATGGAGCTAGAGAAAAGTTAAGTCTTAAATATCCAAGCATGCGGTTACTGTTATTAACGATATATTCGGTGTGAGTTTTCCATGATAGGTCAGAAGAGATATGAACACCTAGATATTTGTAAGTTGATACGTTTTCAAGGATGTTATTTGATAGGAAGTAGTTAGGACAGAGTGCTGCTTTGCGAGAAATCCTCATTGTCTTACACTTCATAGTGTTTAGTTTCATGTGCCAAGCATCACACCAGGAAGAAATTGCATTTAAATCAGATTGAATTATGTGTACGTCAGAGTCATTAGTAATTTCACGGTAAACAACGCAATCATCCGCAAATACGCTTATGGAGGAGGAAATGCTAGTAGGTAGGTCATTTATATATACTAAGAATAAGAGGGGGCCTAGGACAGAACCCTGTGGTACACCGGACTTAACAAGGGACGATGACGAGTTTTTGTTATTGACAGTTACAAATTGCGATCTGTTAGTGAGGAAACACTCTAACCAAGATAAGATATATGGATCAATACTGAGTAGGCTAAGCTTGTATAGTAGTAGTTTATGTGTTACCTTATCGAAAGCCTTTGCAAAGTCCAGAAAGATGCAGTCAGTCTGAGATCCACGGTCCAGAGCCGAGTGGAGGTTGTGGGTGAAAACTAAAAGCTGAGTATCGCACGAGAAAGATTTGCGGAATCCATGTTGAAAAGGGCTAAAGAAGGAGTTGCACTCCAGGAAACGCGAGAGCTGTGAAGAAATTATGTGCTCCATGATTTTGCAGGGTACGCTAGTAAGAGATATTGGCCTGTAATTGAAAGGGGAGAAACGGTCACCAGCTTTGTGAATTGGAACAACCTTCCCTACCTTCCAGTCCTCGGGTAAGACGCCATGATCAAGTGATTGTTGAAACAAAGATGACAAGATGATTGAGGAGTACATTTTGGTATTTTTTAGAAATTTCGCGTTTATCTCGTCGACACCTGATGCCGACGACAGCTTGAGGTTTTCAATAATTTTAACAATACCGGGTGGATCAAACACAATTGGTAACATGGGCAAAAAATCAGAAGATGGTAGTACGGGATGGTTGGCACCTAAGAAATCACTAAAGACACTGATGAAACTTTCGTTGAAAGTCATAGCGCAATCTTCACCAGAAATCACCTCTCCGCCTGAATTTTTAAGTTGTATTAAATGTTTGTCGGCAGGGTTGACTAAGTTCCAAAACTGTTTTGGATTGTTAGTGAGCATTGAGGGTAATTTTATGCTGAAGAAGTTATATTTAGTTTCATCGACGGCCAATTTGTATACTTCAGCTGCCGAATGGTACGCGGCCCAGCGATCGGGAGACATTGATGATTCAGCTGCTCGAAACAAGCGCTTTTTCTTATTAGACAGCCTTTTTAAAGTCGTATTATACCAAGGTGATTTCGAGTTTGATTTGACAACACGACAGGGAATGTAGTTGGTGATCAATGAAGTAATTTTATCTATGAACAGACACCAATTGCCTTCAACCGATCGTTCTGAAAAATTCTGCATATAAGAGCCCATGAATGTACATAGCTCGCGGTTTATGGATTCAAAGTCGGCTCTGGCGTAATCATGGATGTGTTTGACACAATCAGCAGGATTGTTCTTAGGACTTTTCAGGAAAAAATGCAAGGCTAAATGGTCGCTAAGACCTGGAAGATAAGAGATCGGCTCTACGAGGTCCTTAGACGTAGTTAAAATAAGATCAAGAACGTTGGATGCTGAGGACGTAATTCTCGTGGGCTCGGTTACTAATTGCGAAAGATTAAAATCTGCACAGAGATTTAGAAAATCGTTGCTTTCAGAAGAATAAGGCACGCAAATAGGAATATCTTGTGACCAGTTAATATTTGGGTAGTTAAAATCGCCAAAAATAAATAGCTGCGAGTTAGGAAACCTTGAAACAATCCCGCTAAGTGTGTCATGTAATAACTCCACAAAATTCTTAGCAAAGGTAGGTGGGCGGTAACATGCACAGACAACAATGTTTCTGTGACTTAGTTGGAAACGTACACACACAATTTCTAAGCTAGATGCTAAGTTAATATGGGATGACTCAATGTAATCAGCAACTGCAACCAGCACGCCTCCGCCCGTCCGCGAATCCCTATCATGCCGATAAACTTTGTACTGCTTATCACAAAAAAAAAGTTCATCGTTACGTATTTTGCTAGAGAGCCATGTCTCGGTCAACACAATGATGTC